TATATTGAGCACATAGATAATGATGTCAATACTTACATCATACAAAAAAAAAGGAAAATGTTATTTTTTAACCTTGAACATATTTTCTAAAACATACAAAGATTGTCATGAAGAATTTATTGGCTGTATTCATTACTGTTTGAAATGTCTGTTTGTGATACTTACATAGCTTCATTGTAACCCAGTATCATGAAGAGTATTAGTATATATACTGAAGGACAAAAATAAAGAGAATAATTTAGGAACGTTATCTAAATGACTTAATTTGATTGAAAGTATTCCCAGACCTTGCCAGAAAGTTGTGAGAGCTTGTGGAGGACATGCTCGATACGGACTTCATTTATTTAAACTGAAAACAAGGAATCAAGTCTCTTATGTTTGACGTGACTAAGAGCTGAAATTTTATGCGATCCCTTATTTTTTTCTCTCGGTATGTATATATGCTGGATTACCATTAACTTGACTGTCTGAGCCTCCATTTGTTTGGTTCAGGAAATACATGTGTCATCAAGTGTCTGTGAAAACACAGTCAGGTGGCAGTATTCTGTTAGTGATTTGTTATCATCCATACACTGGTAAGTTCTCAGGGAAGTCGTGGTGGTGGTTGTCATATATAACAGCATTCTTGTTTCAATATCACATGGTTTATAACAGCAGACAAAGCTATTCTGGTATTAATGATGGTCAGTACAACATCGTACATACAACTCAAAATAAGTTAGGGAACACCCAATTTTGATAGGATAAGATAAGCTGATGTTGCATGATAGTCTAATTATAGCAATATGGAAGAATTGAGCGGTCCTTCACTTCCTGTGAGTAGTATATTAGATTCTCTATATATGTTAGAGTGTAGAGTATATTAGAGTCTATCTGGTCCTGTTACCTCCAAATACAGTCATGCACAATACATATGCATTGAAATATGTATTGGAATGACATCTTTGAATTTTTGTGGGACATTCTACTTATAGTAAGGAAGTCTGTGTTGTAAAGCAGCAATATAAATATTGTTATTTTTCTTGTTTTTCAATGGAAATTTATACCCAAATCTGTGGAAATCCTGAAAAAGGACACTATATATAATAATGACAATGAAATCTTACTTTAAAACAGATTTTTATGTTTATAAGTTTGTGTTGATTGTTTATGTGAGTAGAATAATATTTTTTGTGTTTTTCTATACCTTATGCTTATTTTAAGTTCATTTTGCCTCAGTGTCAGAAATGTACACACACACACACACACACACACACACACACACACACAAATGCATGGTATGAATATATTAACTTTTATCTGTGTTCATTTTCCATAGGAGCAGTTGACTGTTACATCTTTTGCATGGATCCACTTTTGAAGTTGTTGATGTAGGATTTTGTGTTCATTTCAACCTGATCCTAAATTTGATGGTGCCATTGTATATACGGTTAAGGATCATGAATATTTGGGGGGATATTTTGTATGCTTAATTTTCAAAAAAATATCCTCCAAAATATTCATGAATCATAACTAGAGAGTTATGTAGTGGCCACTGAAGATTGTAATCTGGGCTTGACTCCCTGTCTCACCGTTTATCATTTTTTTTATTTGCGTGCTCCTTGCCTGTATTTTCGGCATGTGAGAGGTAAACATATAAGACTTCTGTCACTTTGGTGATGCGATGTGATCTAACTGAAAATACTAGTCTTAACAATGTTAAAAAACAAACTCTTATCTGTCACTCACTCTCAAGCTGTGCTCTTCTAACAATGTATTGGGTGCGGTTGAGGTTTAGTCAGTAGGCAAGGGCCAGTTGGGTGTTTGAGTCTGGTCATTCAGAGATCAGTTGTTGTTTTAACATGGCGATAGTTAATCAGTCGTATTATAGGTCATCTATAGGCCTCTGATGGAATTTTTATGTCAAATGTTTGTTGATTGTTATTTTCTCATTGTGAGATATTTTGATCGGTCAGTTTCCTGTATGTATTGTGTGTACCCGGTGTAACAGGCCAGAGTATACCCCTGTCCCAGACTATACCCGGGGTTAAACTGGGCTAGCCTAGTTTATACCCTGGGGTATATTGCATTGGTACCAGTGTAGTGCCTATACAGTCACACACTATTCAGAGGCTGGTAGGTCAGCTCCCTTCAACAGAGATGGCTAAGAGCTATGACTAAAGTAAGTCTATGTGAATATGAGAGTTACAGTGGTATCGCCATCATGGTAGCTTTGTGGTAAACTTAGACAAAGTCAGTGTTAGAGAGTCGCCATGGTTGGGCTGCCAACTGAGGTCTATGTAGAGTGTATTCAGAACTCAACCAGGGTTGTACAAAACCATTTTCACACCATGACTGTCTTAAGTCGGCGCAAGTCCATGTTAAGATGTTGGAGTAATGCTTATTTAATGCTAAGATTGATTGTGTAAGCCACCTTTGGTATGTGTGACACAAATAAAATCATGTAGAAAACATGTAAAATCTCTTGTAATATGAAAATAGCATGTGAAGTGCTTCATCATGTAACTCATATGGGAAGTATATATGCAAATGTAGACTACTGGAAATAAAATCAGACCTAAAAAGTCAAATTGCTTTTTTTTTCATTATATATTGTATATTTTTAAAAAAGACAGCCCAGTTAGGATTTGAAGCGGAACGTGCTCAGCAACCCACGCTGGTAGTAGGAGACGATTAAATGGATTTAGTGGTCATAATAACCCAAATACTTGGGTTGGTGCTCATGATATTAATCACTGGTTTGTCTGGTTGAGACTAATTCTTTACTTTCCTACAACTGCAATATAGCCCAGTGCAGGGTAACTGCCTGGTGCCTCAAGCTGATGAACAATTTTCAGGTACCAATGCTACTCAACTGTTGATAGGGATACCTGGAGAGAGGAACATGAATGTGTATGATCAGCTGTTTGGAGGCGGTGGGGTAGCCTTGTGGTTAAAGCGTTCGTTTGTCATGCCAGAGACCTGGGTTCGATTCCCCACATGGGTACAATGTGTGTAGCCCATTTCTGGTGTCCCCCGCTGTGATATTGCTGCAATATTGCTAAAAGCAGCGTAAAACTAAACTCACTCACTCACTCAGCTGCTTGGTCATGGTGTCATACAAATAGTATCCCATATTGTCTTGTAAGTGGATCATGTTCAGCTTCATATAAATTTGAGTACATACTTCAGGTACACCAGTTGCTTTACTCTGGTTATGTAATAATAAATAATAATAATTGGCCACTTCCATAGTGCTGAACTCCACGCTGCAGGGACGTGCTCTAAGCACATACAACATGCTGGACATTATTACCCGGATAACCCAAGCTGCCTGTGAGGCGCTAGAAGTTTAATAAATAGTCAATGACTTATCCCACCGGGTATTCATTTTACGATGGGTGAACAAAGGCATTTTGAACAAACTTAATTGCCTTAGGTACGACCACATAGGTGCTTCGTTGTGGGGCAGGACTGAAGTCTTAGAAACTCTCAGGAGTCAAGCAGCCAAGCACAGTCACCCATCAAGGACTGTCCCTGACCAATGTTGTTTAACATCACCTGATTTGTGACCTGCACTCTATCACACACCATAGCACTGTATCACTCTCTGTGGGATTTAAACTGCTTTTACCAATATTCCATGATTTCCACAGTATAGGGGACTTCACATATTGCATGCATGATGGATAACCAAACCAGGACACCATCTTAACCGGCATCCCAGAATTTTCAGATAATAATGCACCAAGTAATTAAAAGGATTGGGGTAAGATTGTTTTGAACACTATTGACTTGTTTAGTGCAATACTCCACAATATTCCAGCTATATGGCGGTCCCTAAATAATCCAGTCTGGACCAGACAATCAAGTGAGTGACATCATGATTATTGATCTATGCAGTTGTGATACCATGTATCTACATGCCAGGGAGTCTGACCACCTGCAGTTCTTGCCTCTTATAACAAGCACCACATGGCTGAGGGCCAGTTCTACTCTGCCTTTACCTGGGCCTTTTCAACACTATGGCCATCATGTCAACTTTATGCGGGTGTACACTCAAATTGGGTCTTCTATGTGGATGTTCACCACTTGGTTAAAACTGGCCAGCACAGAGGTTAATCGGCAAAACTTGGATTCAAGTGTACGATCCGCGGATCCAGGCGTGGCTAAGGAACGCAACTCTTTACTGTTTTGTAGCATCTACCACTGTGCCCGACCTAGTACTGAAGACATTTGCCGCCATCCACCGCATTGAATCGTAGTGGTTACTCCTTAGAATTAGTCACTAACAAACTTGGCGGTGGGGTAGTCTAGTGGTTAGAAATGGGCTTCACATATTGGGCCCATGTAGGGAATCGAACCTGGGTCTTCAGCGAACGCTTAAACTGCTAGGCTACTCACCTCCCCACCTAGGACATAAAGTGTTTTAAGTTGGACACTAGGAAAACACAAGTGGCGTAAATCGTTTTATTTTGGGGATGAATATGCATTACTAAATATATTTTCAACAATAATCACACAGGAGCAAAGTCAAAGTAGCTGGGCTCCGTTTCACACAGTTATCGTAGCGCTACGACTGTCGTAAGGCTATGTTACAGTATAGGAGGTATGACAGTCGCAGCGCTTCGAAAGCTTTGTGATACGGGGCCCTGGTTTAGCAAATGAGCAGACAAAATCAGGCCAGTCAGTTTCTGAAATGTCGAATATATTTTTGTTGTTATTCCGATTGCAGTAAAATCCTGCTTTAAACTCATGCGACGCCGCCGCATGTGTAGTCAACATCCTGACTGCTTATAACCACTGTTAACTCACTAGATCGTCGGCAGCCGAATGCAAGTCGCGTAGACCTAAAGATGTGACGTTTACAACACTATGACGTCATCACAATGCCCGTGACGCGTTACACACTTGTGACGTCACAGAAGGCCAGCCGCCTTTTCTACTCTACGCAGGCATCAGCGCTCGGAGAGTTAAAGTTGCATGTAGTAAAGATTTACTACGTCAAAGAGGATTTAGTTTCCAGATAATGGATAACGGGTATGTTTTTAACCTTTTTATTCGTAGAATTTAATAGCAATGATTTTTATTAAACGAAAACCACAACTTCACACAGATATGTATGCGGTTGCCATGGCTTGTTGATCTGCATGGAACTTTGCTGGCTCCTCCCCCTAAAAATAACATTTCTTGGAACCAAACATAATGAGAGTTGGTAAATGTTCTTCAGACCCCCCATCAGTGTTCGTATGCCACTTTGTTACGTGACAAATCCAATATATTGTTGACCAAATGCAAACTTCACAGTCCTACTGTGTGTAAGTTCCTAACACCCCATAAAGATCCGGGTTAGAACTAGTCTACAGCAGCCCAAGCTTGTGGACAGAGGCGACTAACGGGGTGCTCAGACTTACAATCTTGGTTAATTCATATTATCATGTCACAATTGCGTAGATCGATGCTTATGATTTCGCATATGCATTTACATTCCCTCTCATGTGTATACAAATTTATTGTTTGAAGTCCGACATATTTACAACTTGTATAGAATCATAATACAATTGTACATCCTGAAATGAAGACGCCAGTTGGAGAATGTATATACTAGACATTTACATTTGCCATGGAATACATCTATGCAGTTTATTGGTTTGGCTAGATAAAGAGAACATAATAACATTGTGTGGTCTGAAGTAGACATGACATTGTTTTACCCACAGACAAGAAGGGCCACCGCCCCCTGCGAGGGACGGACATGGCAACACTCGGAGAGTTATCGGCATCAGAAGGTAGGGATGCTGCTTATCTTTTCTCTAAGTTTTACAAGTGACTCTTAAATTCTATCTTATCTGCGTTATGATCATGCTGTCGGTGTGGATGTAGCGCAATATAAATGGACTAATTATTATACTTTTCCGTCATCGTGTGTTTGCATGTCAAGGGGAGCTCAAGGATATTTTACGTATCGAACGTTCAATACAAGAATATATTTCTGCGTTCTTCTCTTCGTTTGAAGAATATATACAGCTCAAAACAAGTGAAAGAACCCGCCATGACAGACTACAGTAATAAGAATAACTACGGTGTTCGTTAACGTCTTTTTCGTATTGGGACGATGGGGTAGCCTATTGGTTAAAGCGAAGATCCGGGTTCGATTCCCCACATGGGCACAATGTGTGAAGCCCATTTCTGGTGTCCCTCGCCGTGATATTGCTGGAATATTGCTAAAAAGCGGCGTAAAACTAAACTCACTCACTGACTGTTTTTAGTTTTAGAAATGTAATATTCTATATTATGTCTTTACATTTTGTCTTCCATTTCTCAAACAGCAATGTCAGGATCCACAAAGTGCTCGTAACGTTATCGTCACTATATAGGCGTGTAGTTTATCACTTGTGAATGACGTAGAGCTACGAACGCTTTGTGGATCGGAGTCCATGTACTTAACATCCATTTATGTAGAATAAACTACGCTGGGACTGGGCTGCCCCCAGTGGAGACAGTGAGCTCCCCCGAGGACATCTACAACGGCGGGGCCAGTGCTTCGGAGCCACTCCCAGAAAAAGAGGGGTAGGTGGAGCGTAGTTGTGCTCTGTGAGAGAGGTGTGTGGAGGGTCGTGGTCTGTGAGAGGGGGTGGAGGGTAGTGGTCTGTGAGAGGGATGGGTGGAGGATCGCGGTCAGTGAGAGGAGTGGGTGGAGGGTCGTGGTCAGAGAGACGGGTGGGTGGAGGATCGTGGTCTGTGAGAGGAGCGGTTTGAAGGTCGTGGTCTGTGAGAAGGGTGGATGGAGGGGCGTGGTCTGTTAGAGGGGGTGGAGGGTCGTGGTCTATGAGAGGGGGTGGGGGTGGAGGGTCATGGTCTGAGAGACGGGTGGGTGGAGGATCGTGGTCTGTGAGAGGAGCGGTTGGAAGGTCGTGGTCTGTGAGAGGGGTGGATGGAGGGGCGTGGTCTGTTATAGGGGTGGAGGGGCGTGGTCTATGAGAGGGGGTGGGGTGGAGGGCAGTGGTCTGTGAGAGGGGTGGGTACAGGGTCGTGGACTGTGAGAGGGCATGCTGGAGCGTCGTGGTCAGTGAGAGGAGTGGGTAGAGGGTCGTGGTCTGTGAGAGGGGTGGGTAGAGGGTCGTGGTCAGTGAGAGGGATGGGTGGAGGGTCGTGGACTGTGAGAGGGGTGGGTGGAGGGTCGTGGTCTGTGAGAGGGGCGTGGAGGGTCGTGGTCTGTGAGAGGGGTGGGTGGAGGGCCGTGGTCTATGAGAGGGGTGGGTAGAGGGTCGTGGTCTGTAACAGGGGTGGGTGGAGGGTCGTGGTCTGTGAGAGGGGTGGGTAGAGGGTCGTGGTCTGTAACAGGGGTGGGTAGAGGGTCGTGGTCTGTGAGAGGGGTGGATGGAGGGTCGTGGTCTGTGAGAGGAGTGGGTAGAGGGTCGTGGTCTGTTACAGGGGTGGGGGTAGAGGGTCGTGGTCTGTGAGAGAGGGGTGGGTAGAGGGTCGTGGTCTGTAACAGGGGTGGGTGGAGGGTCGTGGTCTGTAATAGGGGTGGGTGGAGGGTCGTGGTCTGTGAGAGGAGTGGGTAGAGGGTCGTGGTCTGTGAGAGGGGTGGGTTGAGGGTCGTGGTCTGTAAAGGGGTGGGTAGAGGGTCGTGGTCTGTAACAGGGGTGGGTGGAGGGCCGTGGTCTGTGAGAGGGGTGGGTTGAGGGTCGTGGTCTAACTAAAACCTAACCTCACAATATTTCCCAATTACAGCGAGTCCCCCGAGCCGCCAAGCTCACCGGAACTCCCCGCCCTGAACCAGCAGGAGATCCAGGCCTTCTACATGCAGTCTCTTCTCGCCTTGAAGCCTGCAGACAGGTCAGACATAAGCCTTCGTGTAGCAGGGAGGCAATATTAAACATCATAGACTCCCGGGCTGGGTTAGAGTGACCATATTTCATACCAAAGCACTTGACCACACGAAACAACGACTCTGAACTGTACATTCGTTAAGGACTTGATCAACCTAAGTTGGTTTCTCCCTCTGGCACAAAGGGACCGACCATTCGATATTCTTGTTGATTTGTATGGAGGATAGATGTCCTTTTCAACTACATTATCAAAATCAGATAATTGTTTAATTGGAACAATGAGTCTATGTATTGTTTATCACAAAACACCTTGCAGCTATGTATTTTTGTGCCTGACAGTCTGTTTTTTAGTTCTGAAGCAAAATTATTGTTTCAAGTATTTACTTGGGCAATTTACATTTTTTCGATAAAATCCACACACTGAAATATGACTAGGTTCGGAAATTCCGAAAGAAGGCCAGTGCTTAGATATAGAGTGGAAATATAAGCAAGAAAACATTCCCCAAACAAATTAAGCTGTCCATTTCAAATATGTCATCGTCCACGATATCCTCAGTTGGATAACAATCTGGTGTGCTCTGGACATTTATATACAACTTGTGGTGTGTGGTTTCAGTGCAAGGAAACTGACAACAGCCACCAGCCCGGACAATGAACTGATGTTCTATGACTCGTAAGTGTCCTGTCGTCATTAAACTTATTTAGGTGAGGTGAGGTGAAAGTGGGTTTAACGTCGTGCTTGAGAATATTTCGCTCATATGACGACGTGCATGCGTGTGTATGTTTATGTGCGGCTGCTTGTACTAGCCCAGACTTAAGCTGGTTTTATAGTGCTGGCCCACTGAGATACCACGCCGCAGTGAAGCATGAATACCCCACTCAGACACATTATACTCCGAGCCGACCAGTCCTTGTTGTACCCATTAATGCCGAGCGCCAGGCAGGGACCAACACGTACCATATTTTAACGTCTTTGGGTATGACGCGGTCGGGGATCGAACCCGCGACCTTCCGCTCTCCGGGCGGACGCTCTAACCACTACACCACGGAGGCGGTCCAACTTATTTAGACTATGAACTTCTCTCCTACACTCTGAAATATAATCTAATTATAGAATAACACATTGCTCCGCTTTTGACTGGAATAGTTTCTTATCTTTCCATGATACATAGACTGATTCTCATAATGTCAGGCCACCATATAGCTGGAATATTGCTGAGTGCGGCGTAAAACTAAACTCACTCACTCATAACGTCAGGTGCAAATTTAAATAGAATGACATATCTGACTACCCCTATCAAAATGTGAGCGGTATGTAATCGATTTGGTTACTGACGGGGAAGTTAAAGACAAATCTTTAGATAAAATTAAGTACTGATATGAACTCAATTTGTTGTTCCCAATACATGTATATGGCTACTATATGGTCAAGTTGTATTCCTTAGCGAATGTTGAGTAGTATCTGTACACTGGATTGATGGTAATATTGCTTTAAAATATAAGTTAACAATAAAATGTTCAGCCACTGATGTTTGTTTCTCAAAGCGCAAGCTCTGGTAGCCAGACCACCAACACAGAACAGCTTGGATCAAGGTCCGACATGGCACAGCCTCCACACGAGGACAGGTACTTGGTTTGGGTTGAAAGGCAGCGATGATAAAAATAGACTAAAATAAGACAAAGTGTTTAAAGACGTTTATCCTACATCCATGTTGTAACTTGTCCTTCATATTAGAGAACCTTTGGCTATTAAGTTAAATACACAGTTTCAGGGAGGGTGCTGTAATAGAAAAAAACATTGCTTTTGCAATCGTGATTAATTTTACGTGAGAATTAAATGAACTTGCATAAAGATGAAACATAAACGTTTTCCCAGAAATCACATCTGAACGTTCCTCGCAGTCATCTATTTAGCTGCATAAAAGGGTAAAAAGCGAACCCCCCAAAATCGTTCAAGCATCGATATTATAGGCATGTGTTTGGTGTTATAAGACTGACTGACTGACTGAGTTTTGTTTTACGCCGCTTTTAGCAATATTCCAGCAACATCACGGCGGGGGACACCAGAAATGGGCTTCACACATTGTACCCATGTGGGGATTCGAACCCGGGTCTTCGGCGTGACGAGCCAACGCTTTAACCACTAGGCTACCCCACCGCCCCGTGTTATAAGAGCTGTCGGGACATTTTGAATTGTTTTTTGTTCCTTATACGTTATGTATTCTGGTTAGTTTTCAATAACAATCGTTGGTTTTCTACTGAAAAATGAAGCTTATATCTTTAGTTTTGTCCAGTTTGGAAAGTATAGCAATAATGTATGTTTTAAATAATAGATTCTTCTGATCGTTGCAAGTTTGTTTAATATATCAGGATGTCACTACGTTCCATTGTGAGAGATGAAATGAAATGCGATGTTGCACGTGCCCTCTCACCAGCACTGAGTGTACATATCTCAAGGGCCACCACGCCAACAGCAGGTGTGCACAGTTCATTTACCACTACACCAACAGCTGGTGTCAGCATATCACGTGCAGCAACACCAGCATCAGATGTCCATAGCTCACGTGCAGCAACACCAGCATCAGATGTCCACAGCTCACGTGCAGCAACACCAGCATCAGATGTCCATAGCTCACGTGCAGCAACACCAGCATCAGATGCCCATAGCTCACGTGCAGCAACACCAGCAGATGCCCACGGCACACGTGCAGCAACATCAGCATCAGATGCCCATAGCTCACGTGCAGCAACACCAGCATCAGATGCCCACAGCTCACGTGCCGCAACACCAGCAGGTGCCCACAGCCCACGTGCAGCAACATCAGCAAGTGCCCACAGCCCACGTGAAACAACACCAGCAGATGCCCATAGCTCACGTGGAACAACACCAGCAGATGCCCATAGCTCACGTGCAGCAACGCTAGCAGATGCCCACGGCCCACGTGCAGCAACATCAGCAGGTGCCCACAGCCCACGTGCAGCAACGCCAACAGCGGATGACAGCATCTCACGTGCAGCAACACCAACGGCAGATGCCCACGGCCCACGTGAAGCAACACCAGCAGCAGATGACAGCATCTCACGTGCAACAACACCAGCAGCAGATGACAGCATCTCACGTGCAACAACACCAGCAGCAGATGACAGCATCTCACGTGCAACAACACCAGCAGCAGATGACAGCATCTCACGTGCAACAACACCAGCAGCAGATGACAGCATCCCACAAGAAGGTGAGAGTAGTCACAATGTTGACTGACATCCTTTCCAATAAGGTCTTATGTTCCCCTGATGTAGTATCCCCTTTGAGAACTCTTTCACAAACAGAGATAAAACAGCCATATCACATGCTTCACGTTCAGGTATAACACTGTCTGCTCAAATTATAGAAGGCAGGAGATTCACGGAAGGGTGTTGAATAACTTGAATTCAGCGAAAGTTGGTCGAGGAACACCCAGCATAAGTGTTGATCATTTCAAACAGGGATGATCATTTCAAACAGCGTTTCACACTATTCATTTGCTGAAAAAAACGTTCAGTGTATACTAAGTAAAATCTAAATAGACTAAAAAGTCAAATTTACGATATTATTAAAAATTCAAATATGATTATAAAATTATACATGTATTGGGATTAGATCTAGTGACATAGTTTTAGAAATCAAGGAGTCTAGAAAATATATAATTTCGTATTATAGAGAAAACAGAGTGTTGTTTTATTCAGTTTTAATTATGACCATGTGTTCATAAATCATTGTCAGTACATGTGAGGCAAACAGGAAGCGCTCGTAAAATCTGCAAATCAACACGTTGCTTACAACAACAATTATGAACGTAATAACTAATTTCTTGAAGAGATAGTCGAACATCCACAACTACATGTACTAACACATTATTTAATGTTTCTCACGGCCTTTAAGCCATATCATTTTCCATTTCACCCAGCCCTTACTTTAATACTACAGCTCTCCATGGAGCAAGTCTGTGTTTTACACTGGTTTAGGTCAGAATCTCGTCCCTCGGCGTGGCTTCTTTTCAACGTAGCTGCTTTTTTCTATCAAAATTACATATTTTCAGAGTCATATCCTCATGCACCATCTGTTCGGGGATGGTTTGTTTGTTTGTTTATTTCTTGTTTGTTGTTTAACGCCGCGCTCAGCAATAGTCAAGCTATAGCGGCGGTCTGTAACCAGTCAGGTTTGGACCAGACAATCCAGTGATCAACAGCATGAACATCGATCTACGTAATTTGGATACGATGACATGTGTCAACCAAGTCAGCCAGCCTGACCACCCGACCCAGTTAGTCACCTCTTACAACAAACATGGGTTTCTGTAGATCAATTCTAACTCGGATATTCAGGGCCATTCGGTGATTGAATGTGATGCATGATTGGGGATGTATAGACTGAGGGAGATGTGTGGGACAGAAGGTGAAGTTCTCGCTAGTATATGGAAACTGTCATCACTAATATCATGTGTTTACTGCTTTACTTGCAGGGGTGTCTACAGCAAAAGGCATCCGCAAACGCATTCGTCGGGTAGGTTAATTCACCTGTCTTTAATCAATATCATCAAATGAATAATTAGGAGATAAACATACTGTGTTGGAAAATCAGAGGTGTATAACGAAATTTTAATAGCTCTAAATTTGATTTAAAACCGCGTAGCGTGAGGTTTCAAATAAAAAAATTAAAGGTATTATAATTTCGTTATATACCTCTGACTTTCCAATACAGTACGTTTATCTCCATTCTACCATAACCGCGTTATGAAGATTTTAAAAAACCAAACATACTGTGTTGGAAAATCAGAGGTATATAATGTGATTATATACCTCTGAATGAATTTGATTAACCAATCACAATCCAGTATTTACTGAAGTGATGGTAGAATTTGTCATAATCTACCCAAATAGTCTCTCATGAGTTGAGTACTGCAAGGTTTTTTCAAAGCAATTGGCTGCCTTGTTCATTTCGAATTAAATGAGCACCGGGCCCAAGCGAATTGGTTCAATCAAGAATCACGATGCAAATACATGAAACATACTTGCCAGTATCTTCTAGTGTCTTCTAGTGTCTGTGAGTGCCTGCAGGTGCGTCTCAACTTCTGTAAGGGATAATATTTTTATTTTATTTATCTTTAAAACTAGAGCTGACTCTCTTAGTATGTCAAGTGTATATTTACATAGAATGACATATCTGATTATCCCTATGAAAAGTTGAGTAGTTTGAAACGAAAGCATTTAATTTTAATTTTACTCCTCAAGAAGGATACATATTGTTTAAACTTGCCTTAAGTTTTGAATGCACGACTGAATTTAAGCGATTTATATAATTATTTTCAGGTATTCTCCCGACTCCTGCGGCCATTCAGATCCTGCTTTGGCCACAGCTAAGATCCTTGGTTAAAATAACATCACGGCAGCAACACTATCATTGGCTCTTCTAGTCACGTGTGTAGAGGTCACAGGTTATCCAGGTGTTGTGTTTGTAAGGGAAGGTAAGTAAAGGCACATTATGAAAGGGTTGGATGGAGAGGTGGCTGATGTCAATGACCTTGTTTCCAGGAGGACTGTGTTAGACGGGAGGTCACAAAGCAAGTTTAATTTTTTACCTAATCATGTGTTTTATTGCGCCTAATGCTTTGTGGCATCTTATTAAAGCACATTTACGATTACCTGAAGATTGTATCTGTCAATACACAATAGATGTGAATCCGAAATATTTATAATATATTATCGCAAAACCACATTGAAAAACCTCGCTAAAGGCAAAGGATCAAGGCCCTAGGGGTAGTTGCAATGGGTTTAATTTTTTCAAAAATAGAAACTGTAAATCATTTTCACATGTATAGGAAAACTAATCAGCTAATGTTTATATTGAAAAACAATATTGGAAATTTGTCCTTAAAGACAACCATTTCATATATATAGGAAAACTAATCCGAGAAACTATCGGAATTGCTAATGTTTATTTTGAAAAACAATATTGGAAAAGCCTCACTAAAGGCAAAATCATCAAGGCCCTAGGGACAGTAGCAATGTTTTTTGTATCACATGTATAGGAAAAATATTGGAAAATACTCACTAAAGGCAAAACCACCAAGGTCCAAGGGGTAGTAGCAATGTTTTTATATATTCTGTGTATAAGAAAACTAATCCGAGAAACTATCGGAATTGCTAACGTTTATATTGAAAAACAATATTGAAAATTCGCACTAATGGCAAAATCATCAAGGCCCTAGGGGTAGTAGCAATCATTTTTATTTAAAAAAATATAAACAGAAACACTTTTCATATGTACAGGAAAAATAATCCGAGAAACTATCGGAATTGCTAATGTTTATATTGTAGAACAATAATGTAAAAAACTCACTTAAGGCAAAGTATGAAGGCACTAGGGACAGTAGCAATGTTTTTTATATCATATGTATAGGAAAACTATTCCGAGAAACTTTCGGAATTGCTAATGTTTATATTGAAAACAACATTGGAAAATTCTCACTGAAGGCAAATCATGAAGGCCCTTGGGGTAGTAGCAATGTTTGTTATTTTCAAAAATTAAAGCTGAAAACCCTTTTCATATATATAGGAAAACTAATCCGAGAAACTATAGGAATTGCTAATGTTTATTTTGAAAAACAATATTGAAAAAAAAAGGCAAAATCATCAAGGCCCTAGGGACAGTAGCAATGTTTTTGTATCACATGTATGAGAAAACTAATCCGAGAAACTATCGGAATTGCTAACGTTTATATTGAAAACAATATTGAAAATTCTCACTAATGGCAAAATCATCAAGGCCCTAGGGGTAGTAGCAATCATTTTTATTTAAAAAAATATAAACAGAAACACTTTTCATATGTACAGGAAAAATAATCCGAGAAACTATCGGAATTGCTAATGTTTATATTGTAGAACAATAATGTAAAAAACTCACTTAAGGCAAAGTATGAAGGCACTAGGGACAGTAGCAATGTTTTTTTATATCATATGTATAGGAAAACTATTCCGAGAAACTTTCGGAATTGCTAATGTTTATATTGAAAACAACATTGGAAAATTCTCACTGAAGGCAAATCATGAAGGCCCTTGGGGTAGTAGCAATGTTTGTTATTTTCAAAAATTAAAGCTGAAAACCCTTTTCATATATATAGGAAAACTAATCCGAGAAACTATCGGAATTGCTAATGTTTATTTTGAAAAACAATATTGGAAAAAGGCAAAATCATCAAGGCCCTAGGGACAGTAGCAATGTTTTTTGTATCACATGTATGAGAAAACTAATCCGAGAAACTATCGGAATTGCTAACGTTTATATTGAAAAACAATATTGAAAATTCTCACTAATGGCAAAATCATCAAGGCCCTAGGGGTAGTAGCAATCATTTTTATTTAAAAAAATATAAACAGAAACACTTTTCATATGTACAGGAAAAATAATCCGAGAAACTATCGGAATTGCTAATGTTTATATTGTAGAACAATAATGTAAAAAACTCACTTAAGGCAAAGTATGAAGGCACTAGGGACAGTAGCAATGTTTTTTATATCATATGTATAGGAAAACTATTCCGAGAAACTTTCGGAATTGCTAATGTTTATATTGAAAACAACATTGGAAAATTCTCACTGAAGGCAAATCATGAAGGCCCTTGGGGTAGTAGCAATGTTTGTTATTTTCAAAAATTAAAGCTGAAAACCCTTTTCATATATATAGGAAAACTAATCCGAGAAACTATCGGAATTGCTAATGTTTATTTTGAAAAACAATATTGGAAAAAGGCAAAATCATCAAGGCCCTAGGGACAGTAGCAATGTTTTTTGTATCACATGTATAAGAAAACTAATCCAAGAAACTATCGGAATTGCTAACGTTTATATTGAAAAACAATATTGAAAATTCTCACTAATGGCAAAATCACCAAGGTCCAAGGAGTAATAGCAATCATTTTTATTTAAAAAAATATAAACAGAAACACTTTTCATATGTACAAGAAAAATAATCCGAGAAACTATCGGAATTGCTAATGTTTATATTGAAAAACGATAATGGAAAATTCTCACTGAAGGCAAAATCATCAAGGCCCTAGGGGTAGTAGCAATGTTTTTTTATATTATATGTATAGGAAAATTAAATCGAGAAACTATCGGAATTGCTGTTGTATATATTGAAAAACGATAATGGAAAAACCTCACTAAAGGCAAAATCATCAAGGCCCTAGGGGTAGTAGCAATGTTTTTTTATATTATATGTAT